AGCTCGATTAGTTTATTTTTGATAAAAATTAATTTTTTTTATAGTAAAAATTTATATATTCAAAAAGAATATATGTATCGTTAGTCATAATATAATATTCTAACGAGAATACATAAAATACATGGTTTGATTTAGAAGTGTAGGTTTCTTGGGTTGGAATTGAAAAATTAGAATATACTTCTGCATCTCCTTCAGTTTCTGGAGTTCATTCAAGTGTTTCTTCTAGTGCTGCTATTGATCATGCAATGGCTCAACAAATTGGTTCTTCACAAGCTTCCCCTCATGGACCATTTCAATTTCCTGGGGCATGGTTCCCTGCTGGCCCAAATCAAAATCCAGTGTATCAACTCCTGAATTCTTCAGCACCAATTCTCAACAATCCTATGCCTATACAGCCATCATTAATCAATTCTTCAAATATGCCTTCACTTTTTGGGCCTCGACCAGCCCCTGGATTTAATTCAATTCTTCCAAATACTTCATTGCCTCCAAGTTCACAGCCACCCATGCAAGTTTTGCCTCATCCATATATGCCTCAGACATCCCCTTTGAGCCATGGTGGCCCCTCAAGAAATTTTCCCATGCATTCTCCTCTGCCTTCCTCCGGTCAGGCTAGCATGTCAGGTCCACTCCCGTTTTCTGGTAACCAACCCCAACCAATAGGGCCAGTTCCCACTATGAGGCCACCACCATTTGCCCAAACCATGTCTGGTCTCCTTCCAAGACTGTCTGACCAGTCATTAACCCCTACAGGGAGGTCAGGACCTTCTGCACGTCCAGTAGCGTCAGTAGGTCCAAGCAATATGGGGCAATTACCCCCACCAATTGTTCCTTCCTTGGGACCTCGACCTTTAACTCTTCAGCCAGGCAATGGCGCTATGGCACTCCCTTCAACTATATCAGCAGCCAATATGGTGTCTCCTGCAACCTTTCCATCTGGGTTATCGAACCCCCAGTTGTCTGGTGCTCCTTTGAATCATCCTGCAGCTCCGGTTTTTATTCCTGGTCCGTCCTCGATAGGGCCTTCCCATAATCATTCAGCTCCTTTGCACCAAATACCACTCTCAGTTCCCAGGCCTGCTACTAATATGGGCCATTCTTCTCTAAATCCATCTGCCAATTCTGTAACAGGATTGAATCCAGTGCCTTCCAGATCACAACCATCACCTTTGCATGCAAGTTCTAATTCTGTTTATGGAACTATGACAAATTTCACTTCTGTAAATCCATCGCCAGCAGCAGCAGCAGCTCAGCCACTCCCAAATTCTGTGGATTTCACATTTCAAACTCAGCAGACCCAGAATGTAGCCTCTCAAATGGCTCCAAGGCCAAGCATTCAGCCAGCATCTCCAATTGCTCCACCCTCTCGGCCAATGGTGCAGGCTCCAGCACATCAGGCACCATCTATCGGGATGCCCATGCCCAGTGCAACTTCTCAAACCGCCATTCCTGTCTTCCCAAGGCCGCAGCTTAGCAACCAGATGGGTCAGCCGCGACATCAATTATCTTCCACTCCATATGCCAGTAATCCAGCTGTCATGTCAATTCCGCCCAGATTCCCTGCTTATCAAAATGCAGGTCCTCCGCTAGGAAATCCTGTGTCATTACTGGGACCCAGGAATTACGGTTCAGCTCCCCAAATGCTCAACATTCCTGCTCCTTTCCCTCCCAGGCAAGGAAATCAAATGCAGTCCCAGCAAAACTATCTTCCAAATCCCCGTCTGCAAAACCCGGTGAATCAGAATCAACATTTCCCGGGGAAGCAGGTACCCACTCATCCCGGTGGACAGCAAATTTACGACCCGTTCTCGCCCACTTCTACACCGGTTGTCCCTATCCAGCAACAAGGAGGTAATCTGTCAAATGCGAGAAAGCAGGAAAATGATCCAGAGTACGAAGATCTGATGGCTGCAGTTGGAGTGAAGTGATTTTCCCAGGAAAAACCAAATGAGGAACTGAAATTCACAGATTTGCTGAAACTTATGAAAATAATGTGTGGATGAAAAATTTGAAGGTTGGAATCTATAGTTTTTGCCATGGTCTTTAATGGCTGCTCTGATATCAACAGCTCTTCCATATTCAATATTTTTATTTTTGCCATCTGTTCATCACATATTTATAAGTTTATCCTCGTACACATCCCATATTGATTGCTGAGATTTGGTTAACTCCATCCAAACACCAAACTGTAGAATCTGGTTACATGTAGCTCTAGATATATATATATATATATCTAGAGCTTTAATATTGCATGAAATTATTAAATTAT